CCCCCCCACCTCCCCCCCCCCCCCCTCAGTCCTGCCCCTCCCCCTCCATTAACTATGGCCCCTCCCCTCAGCACAGCTCCTCCCCCCTCAGCACAGCTCCTCCCACCTTACATCAGAGAGCAGCACATCATCCTGTAGACAGAGGCACGCACCTTGGGTAATACGGGAAGCTGAGCTGATAGGTGCCACTGAAGCCTTTCCCGGAGATCTGATCCATCCAGCCGTTCTTCTCGCACTTCTGCAACGTTCTCTTCAGCAGGTGAACTGGAGGAGGAAGCACACGCTCACCCTGGAAGCTGGAGTTGACTCCGGGATGGTTCTCCAGGACGTACTTCTTGATGGCCGTGGTGGAGCAGGTTTTGGGCTCATTCATGGCTGTGATGGCAGATAAGATGGCGTCCTCGAATCCCCCGCCACTGAGGAGAGGCTTATCTCCGGCCCGCTTCAGCTGTGCCAACAGAGATCAGTCAGAGTTAGTGCGCTCTCAGGATTCAGAAAGATGGCGACCACCATTGTGACGTATATTACCCCCCTCCCCTCCCCCGTCTACAGGAGATAGAACACAAACTTTCCACCAAACATGACCCCGCCCCCTCCCCTCCTTACCTGGAATGTTCCGGAAGCCCCTTTTCCTGTGATCTGCTCCAGCTGCCCCTTCTCCACGGCCCTCTGCAGAGCGTTCTTCAGCATCTGAGGCCTGCGAGACAAAACCCGGGTCACAGCTCATCAACGGAACCGCCCCATCCTACCTGATCAACGGAACCGCCAGAACCCCCAAATGTCATGGTCATACCGTATACGCCCCATATATGGTCATGCTATACACACCCCATATATGGTCATACCATACACACCCCATATATGGTCATGCTATACACACCCCATATATGGTCATACCATACACACCCCATATATGGTCATACCATACACACCCCATATATGGTCATGCTATACACACCCCATATATGGTCATACCATACACACCCCATATATGGTCATGCTATACACACCCCATATATGGTCATACCATACACACCCCATATATGGTCATGCTATACACACCCCATATATGGTCATACCATACACACCCCATATATGGTCATGCTATACACACCCCATATATGGTCATACCATACACACCCCATATATGGTCATGCTATACACACCCCATATATGGTCATACCATACACACCCCATATATGGTCATGCTATACACACCCCATATATGGTCATACCATACACACCCCATATATGGTCATGCTATACACACCCCATATATGGTCATGCTATACACACCCCATATATGGTCATACCATACACACCCCATATATGGTCATACCATACACACCCCATATATGGTCATACCATACACACCCCATATATGGTCATACCATACACACCCCATATATGGTCATACCATACACACCCCATATATGGTCATACCATACACACCCCATATATGGTCATACCATACACACCCCATATATGGTCATACCATACACACCCCATATATGGTCATACCATACACACCCCATATATGGTCATACCATACACACCCCATATATGGTCATACCATACACACCCCATATATGGTCATACCATACACACCCCATATATGGTCATACCATACACACCCCATATATGGTCATACCATACACACCCCATATATGGTCATACCATACACACCCCATATATGGTCATACCATACACACCCCATATATGGTCATACCATACACACCCCATATATGGTCATACCATACACACCCCATATATGGTCATACCATACACACCCCATATATGGTCATACCATACACACCCCATATATGGTCATACCATACACACCCCATATATGGTCATACCATACACACCCCATATATGGTCATACCATACACACCCCATATATGGTCATACCATACACACCCCATATATGGTCATACCATACACACCCCATATATGGTCATGCTATACACACCCCATATATGGTCATACCATACACACCCCATATATGGTCATGCTATACACACCCCATATATGGTCATACCATACACACCCCATATATGGTCATGCTATACACACCCCATATATGGTCATACCATACACACCCCATATATGGTCATGCTATACACACCCCATATATGGTCATACCATACACACCCCATATATGGTCATGCTATACACACCCCATATATGGTCATACCATACACACCCCATATATGGTCATGCTATACACACCCCATATATGGTCATACCATACACACCCCATATATGGTCATGCTATACACACCCCATATATGGTCATACCATACACACCCCATATATGGTCATGCTATACACACCCCATATATGGTCATACCATACACACCCCATATATGGTCATACCATACACACCCCATATATGGTCATACCATACACACCCCATATATGGTCATACCATACACACCCCATATATGGTCATGCTATACACACCCCATATATGGTCATACCATACACACCCCATATATGGTCATGCTATACGTGCACACCCTATATATGGTCATGCTATACGTGCACACCCCATATATGGTCATACCGGACACACCCCATATATGGTCATGCTATACGTACACACCCCATATATGGTCATGCTATACGTACGCACCCCATATATGGTCATACCGGACACACCGCATATATGGTCATACTGGACGCACCCCATACATGTCATGCTATACGTACGCACCCCATACATGTCATGCTATACGTACGCACCTGACGTCCACTTTGAGCTTGGGGTAATACTGGGAGACGTATTTCTTGATGAGGCTGTACGAGGCTTCTTTGGGCTCACACAGCCGGGTGAACGCCAGGGGTAAGATGTCCTCCAGCTTGACGTTGATCTGGTCTCCTGCTGTGGATCCGCCTCTCTAGAAGGGGAGGAGCAGACAAGAGTGGTCACCGTACGGCGGGGGGATGTCCGTCTGTCACAATCGGCGCGGCGGCAACGCGGCCACAAACATTCACAATCAGCGCGGCGGCAACGCGGCCACAAACATTCACAATCAGCGCGGCGGCAACGCGGCCACAAACATTCACAATCAGCGCGGCGGCAACGCGGCCACAAACCTTTCTGTCTCGGGATTTTGGCGCCGATTTTCCAGAATTTGACACGACGACGAAGCTGCCGGACGCTCCTTTCCCCTTCACCTGAAACACAGGAAGATGATGTCACAGCCTGAGACGTGATGTCACGGAGCTCTGACCAATCAGAAGACGTCAGGAAGGAGATAGAATACACCTCACCTGGCGGATGGCCCCCCTCTGGAGCTCCCGTTTCAGGGCTTGTTTCAGCAGGAAGCCCCGCCTCTCCAGCTCCAGTGACGGGTACTTGTTGATGATATATTTTCGGATGGCCACCACGGAGGCGCCGGACTTCTGGAAACACGCCTGCGTGAGGAGAGCGGAGATGAGCTGGGGGGGCCGCCCTCTAGTGGACATAGATAGTACCACAGAGTATCGGGGGGGGGGGCCAAGCGAACCACCGACCCCATCACTGTTAAAAACTGCACATCACTGTGAATGTGAAGAAGTCACGCGCATGGAGCGTCACAACATGGCGACGTTTCAGAGCCACTCGGGTCCCTTCTTCAGACTTCTTTACATTGACTCTATGGTTTACTGACACAGGAAGTGACGCACCTCCGAGTGTTACCGCCACTTCCTGTGTGCGTCTGGGGTTCCCCAATCTGTATCGGCCCCCGACCCATATCATCAGCAAGAAACCATCACCGACCTTTATGGCCTCAGTCAGAATGGCGTCCATCTTGGGGCGGGACGCAGAGGAGGCGTGCGTCTGTTTCTGGGCCCGGGCCCTCTGATTGGCGGAGAGCGTGGCCCACGCTGGAATGGTCTTCTTCACCTTCTTCTCCTTCTCCTTTTACTGTTCCTTCTCCCCACTGCAAGATACCCGGCCCATGAGTCCCCCATGACACCGCTGCCCCCCCCCATCATACCCTCCATACCCCCCATCGTACCCTATATACCCCCAATCGTACCCTATATACCCCCCATCGTACCCTATATACCCCCCATCGTACCCTATATACCCCCCATCGTACCCTATATACCCCCCATCGTACCCTATATACCCCCCATACCCTCGATGGGCCGGCTTACTTTTTCTTGTCCTCCTCCGTCACTGGGCCGTCGGTCTTCTTCTCCTCGTCGGTTTCGGCCTCTTTTGGTTGCTCGGTCTCGCTGGAAGTGGCCGGAGGAGTCTCGGTCTCCTGCTCCTCTCCGGTGGAAGCCGACTCTTCTGAGCTGGCGTCAGGCTCTGAGGGGGGAGGAGTCACGTGCTGAGCAGGAGAGACGCATGGCAAACGCATTCACCCGTTCATACCCAGCTGTGATGCACGGTGCGCATGGGCCGACATTCCCCGCACATTCACCACCCAACCTGTACAACGGCCG